GAGACGTCAGAGCTTTTTCTATAAAACGTGAATGTGGCACAGAGTCCCCACTCTCACCACTCCCAAATTCTTGAAGCTCTATTTCTTCATCACAAATGGAGCTCCAAAATGCAATTGCTTGGAGGGCAACGGCCTCTTCATCCCCCTTTACAGCATTTGACGTAAGCTCAAAGAGAGCCTGCATGTAAGGCTCAAGCACCACATAGTACCTTGAAGCAATTGAAGCAAGACACTCAAAAGCAGCCTGCCTAATTTCTACCTCCTTAGACAAGGCCGTCTCACAGACCATCGTCATGATGTAATTCCGTTCCATCTCATTTTTAAAGTTGGTCTGTGCAAACTCCAGGGCATTACATAGAGCCCTTGTTGCAGCAAGACGGACTTCAGGGCTGTTTTCAGCAAGGTTCATTCCTTGGAATACAGCAATAAGAACATGGTTCACCTCATCTTGCCGAAGATCTTGATGGGATATCTCCTCACATACATAACCAAGTGTTGCCAAGGTTGACTGTTTCAAACCAGCAGGGCTATCTGGACGAATCATATTTTTAAGCAAAGATCCAATTAGGTCAGTCCACCGTTTCCTGGGAATATCAATAGAAGCAATTTTCGCAATAACTTGGGCAGAGATGCGTCTTGCCTCTGACACAGGTGACCCAAGTGTCCTCAAGAGCAAGGACTTGATTTGGAATTTAGTCAAAAAGTCAATATTCATCCATTGTTGAGCAATATGTTTTTTTTTGGTACCTGGTGAGTTCTTAAGCATTATACCAGCCAACGTACGTGACTCAGTGGGTTTCTCATTGTTTGCAAGCTCCAACGACAAAGACAGATAAAACGAAGAAACATTTTGGTCTTGGAATTGCCTAAGATTAGCCTCTGCTTCAGTACGAATTCTTGCATCAGCTGATTGAGCTGCCAATAGAAACTGAGTAATATCCATAACCATTTCTTTCCTACTACAAAAGAAACCACAAAAAAAGATACATAAGAATATATAAACAGATAATAATGATTGAGTTGAAACCAATGATTTCTTGAGGCTATACAGTATGTCATTGACTTAAGATTACCAAAAAGAAAACTAAATAAATTAATAAATCTACTTAAAAATTTGTTAAATCGAAAGAGGACATAAGGAACAGTGAAAAGAATGATCAAGCATGAAAGCAGCAACTGTAGAGAGAAACAGAAACCTCCAAATACAACTAACATGCCATACCCATTACTTTTAGTTATTTTATTTTTTATGAGCACTTTTAATTTTGTTTTGCATATACATATATATAAGCTAATATAAATTTTTTTGTGCCCTTCTCAATCGTGGGCCCCGGGCGGTGGCCCTGACTAAAATTATATAAAATTGCAACTCATGTCTTTTTCTCTTCTATAACAAAGGTGATTCAAGCGTCACCCGATTGATCCAAATTCCAAACTAACTGGCCAAATTCAGTTTCTGAGATACCAGAACCATGACATCAGAAACTTCTGAGCCAGACGCTTAATTCCTTAAAACTCAGATACAAAGCATCATGTGAGAAACATAGAAAAATCTCCTTCTCTTCCCTCTTCTTTTCATTCAGATTTCCAGAGAAACAATTTAAAATGATTTAAACTAACTTGTAATATAAAATAACCTCACTCATAACCATTTCAAATCGCTTAAGAGTACGAAAGACAACCCAAATAAACAAAAGGAAAGAAATGTAGACGAACACATAGCTTAAATCCTCAAAACCCCAAAAATAACACAATCAGCAGATCTATTACCAGAAATGTAAATCAAACAGCATAAATTGAGATTAGAAAGAGAGAGATACCCCAAGTAGAAGCCGATGAAACAGCGCGCGCGAGTAAGGCTCTAAAACCCTACTCGAAGAACAAAAAGAAGGGCAAGCGAGCACTTCACCTCACCCGTCGCGTAGAGAAGAGAGAGCCTCTGTACCGTCACCTCACCTCTGTACCGTCGCGTAGAGACAAAGCAGAACACAGAGAGACAGAGAGAGAAGAGAGAGAGATTGAGGAAGAGAGCGTATGAATGAAAATGAATTTATCGGCGATTTATATTTCGAATGCTTGGAAGAAGCGGGAGGGGAGTGTAGTCCCGATCTGGACTCGCGGGAGGGAGACGAGAGGAAATCAGATCTCCTGTAACTAATTTGTTGACACGTGGCCCTTACTTAACATACTAATTGTTTTGTTCAGTGACTTTCTAACTCTACATAACATTTCGGGTGCTGACAAGGTTTAGAAGTTGTATATTTAAATTTAAGTATATTTCTTTGGTACTACGTTCAGTTTTTATTTATGTGAACTTGAATCTAAGATTGTTATGTAAGGAGCATTTATATATGTGAACTTGAATCCAAGATTATGTTCTGCCTCATTCCAAAAACATAATTTTAGCAAGTGGCAACGAAATAAAAAATAAATAGAAATTATCAATGGGTTCCCATCACAATGATGGTGGCTTCCCCATGGCACCCAAGATCGAAACTCCAGGGTGGGTGCAATTAGGATGGGTTGTCTTTCCTCCTCATATGACAAAATAAATAAATAAATAAAAATTCAAAATAATGTGCTAGCTAGTGAAGGGGTAGTTAAGTAGGAGGAAATAATGGTTTTCTTTTGTAAGGATAAATAAATAAAAGAAAGAATAGTAATGAGTTATTCACATGGCATAGAATAAATGGCAAAAAGTTACTTTTGTTCCATGTATTCTGTCATATTTTCTACTTTGGTTCTTGTGGTTTCAACATTTTCGTCCCTGAGTTTTAGACGGAATTAGAAGAAAATTTGATAGAGTTTGTAACGTGTTCTTAAATCAAAGATATATGCGTATAAACATCCAATGTTCATCCTCATTCTCCCAATTGTATGATTTGTTCAATTCACATGTCCATATCAACTCTACCCATGCTATTATTTTATGAAAAGAAGAAGCTCTGCATAGAAAAATTAAGTGAGTTGAATGTTGCAGCTCTTCACAGATAGCTAATCTAAACTATTTAAGAAACCAAACTCTTTCATTGCATGCCACCTATAACCCAAGCCAAAACTACATGGAATTCTTTATAGCTAAAGGTTTTTGTTCAAGTTAACTCATCCAGGGCTTTGCCATGCAAATTGCAATTAAAAAGAAAGACTTTAAACTCAACAAATCAAGCCAACCACAAATCTCGTGGAGGCCTTTTTGCACGATATTAAAGCCACATCATTCTTTTAAATATGTCCTAGTTTTCATGGTTACTACAATATTAGATGGTGGAAGACTTCAACCTAAGCAAAGTATAGTGCATAACGAGTGATATCCAAGCCGAAAGACCAATGATGAATCATCATGCAAGAACTTCTCAGCCCAGTTCAAACCAACAGCATGCATTGTCCTTAACAACTGAAGGTGTTCTTTATGTACATCTGCCAGACAATCAAGACCTTCATATCGTGCCACCACCAGAACATGCCTTTGTGCCTGCAAAATTCCAAAGTTCTTTTTTTTTTAGGTGAGACCCAAGGGTATTAATCCCTTTCGCCGCGGGAGCTCTCCCAATAGAGGTAAACGGCTGGCCATGAAATGCGCTCCATTCCCATGGGCGGGGATTGAACCCCCAACCTCATGGTTAAGGAATGAGGTGAGCTACCACCACACCACATCTCATGGCTAAATTCCAAAGTTCTTTTAATCAACTAAAAAGTAGAAGAGGTTAGTGAAGGATATATTAATAGGTGACATTACGCTACGACATATTAATTTAAACATATGCCATTACGCATCATTCGCGCTTCATTCATAAAAGAAGAAAAAAGAAAAACTTCAATAGATGATAAATAGTAAGTTTTTCGGAAGGAAATATTTGACTTTCCATCAAATACATGATAGAAATGTAGAAATACGGTATGTAGTTTCCAAGTCGTCTCAGTTTGCCCCCTGAAGTTTTAAATGACTCAATCTCCCCCCTGAACTTCTATTATGTGACCAAGGTTGCCTTATTCTGTTAGTTTTTAGATAAAAATCTGCTTACATGGCATGTGTATTTTGGTAATTTTAACTATTAAATATTAAAAATGCTTGAAATTATTGAAAATCAAATATGTAAAATAATATAATATTTTAAAATTTTAAAAACAAAAAAAATTAACCATCCCCAAAGTTCTGCATCATCTTCTTTGGCTCCATCGCACCACTACCCTACTTTACACCCCAACCACACCAGCAGCCGCCCACAACTACGAAACTGATCTTCCCACGTAAACCTAGTCATTGCCTTTTTAATTCTGACCTCTAGCTGCAGGGGCGGACTATGCCAAAAAAGGGCTTTAGCAACGGATAAAATCCGTTGCCTATTACACATAAATACCGTGGTATTGGTGACTGTTGCCTATTCCTATGTAATAGGCAACGGATATTCTCCGTCGCTGTTTATCACTTACTACATCGGATATGAAGTAAACTCCGATGCCTAAATGATTTCCGGGTGCCAAAAAAGGGTTGACTTCTGATGCCTAAACCCGAAACAGCATCAGTACTTTCAGAAGAGAGGAGGCTAAAGAGGTCTAACATCATCAGTAGTTTTAAAAGGGATGATGCTAAAGAGGTCTAACAGCATCAGTTATATCTACTATGCTGATGCATATTATCAATTACAACATCGTAGAAACAAATAATGGTATTGTGAATTATGTTATACATCATCGCTTTTTTTATTTTGCGGATGTGAAAAGCCTCCAATAGTGCTGGTGGTTACATAAATGCTGATGCTACTTCTCGTTTTAGGCATCAATGATAATAGATGTCTGGTTGTTGTTTTTATCTTTCAACTTCAGTTATTTCTGGAAAATTGAAGTTGTTATAAACAATAGGCATCATTTATGTAAGGAAATGGTAGGTATTTTGCTTGTTTCACATCACACTTTACTTAGTTACTGTAATAGTATTTAAGAAAGGCCTCATTTCCAAATCATGTTGTGTTGCCATTGCTCATAAAAAAAAACATTATATCAACAGTAATTTAAATATATCCATAATTGTCTATATATATAAGCAAAATACTTGAATGATCCATACTTGTCACATCCAAATCACAAATTTACCAGCCCTACACCATAAATTATCCATACTTGTCTATGCATAAGCAAAATACTAGCTAGAAAGACATAAAATGAAGGAATGTTTAGCTTAATCAAAAAGCCATTCTAGGACATGACTTGCCAATTCTCCTCGCACCTCATCCAATTCCATTTGGGTGTCCTTCCTTCTAGCTCTATACTGGAAAAAAAAAACACATAGAATGTAAACACAAAATATGAACATAAGCTTAAAAAATGCAAGGTACTAAATTTGCATAAGATATGTTGTCACTTCAAATGAACCAATATGCAAATTTACGAAATCATATTGGTGAACCCAATTCTTCTCGCACCTCATCCAATTCCATATAGGTGTACGTGTCTTTCCATCTAGCTCTACACTGAAAAAAGAAAAAAAAAAGCATGAAAAATGTAAACACAAACAGCAGAAATATGAACATAAGCTTAAAAAGTGCAAGGTACTAAATTTGCTTAAGATATGTTGTCACTTCAAATTTACCAAATCATATTGGTGAACAAGAAAAATCTAATTTGTCAACCAATCTAATTAGATAACAAGAAGCCATTAAATGGATCTCACTTCACGTTTCAAATAGGAATTAAATGATTATGTGATGGAGTAGAGAGTAAGCCAAATTTTTCTGTTAAGAGTAAGATAAGAGTCAATGGTGAACCATATGCAACCAGACCTCAGCATATCAAGTGAGAACAAAAAGAAGAAAAACATAATAAGAAGAATTAGGATATGCATTTAGATATAAAGAGACATAGCATATGCAAATTTGGCACAAAAACAAAAAGAACACACAAATCAATTATAGACACATTTAACTCAAATGCCAACCATAATTAGTCCCCTTGGTGATCTCAAAATGCACAAGTAAATGCCCAAAGTTTCAGGCCAAAACACTTTCCTTTTCGTACCTATTAATATCGGCGATCAAGGGCATGGCATATATGCTAGAACTAACTTCAGTTATATGAATATAAAAAGACAACACTTAGTTTATAAGTTCTTAAATTTTGAAGATAATTACTTACCCAAAAGTTTACAAGTTCTTAACCTTTTGAAGGTAATTACTATCCAAAACGAATATACAAAAAGAAACAATAAAAGTAAAGATATGCCAAAACCTTTGGTTATTTTTCAAAATACCTTTACTCGCTGAAGTATAATAGAATCATTTCTTCTCTTTTTTAATGGGAAAAATGACATTACAAGAGGAAGCTGTATTCAGATTTCTCAAACTTGAATTACCAAAGCAATGATGAGCATACAATAGTAATATAATATGTGTTCAATCTTAAGAAGTTAACCCATCTTGAACAACATAGAGAAAAAATTAGGTCATTATCTAGATTTGGTATCCTCTTCATGTTTTTGACTCTGGGCAACTTCAACAAAAATCAGCCTCCCATCAACCATCTGGACAAATTTTAACAAAAACTTCGAAAGAGAAAAACAAGACTGAAGGTGTTCACAAAAAAATACAATTTAAAAACATATGACAAAAACAAAGACTAGGAAATTTGATCAACGAAAAACACATATTCAGTACATAAAAGATTAGAATGCGCAAGTATAAGGGCTATATGATCTGCAATTTGGCACAAAAACAATTATAATATGAGTCAATTTACCAAATCAGAACAAAGATGTGTTAGTTGAATGCCAAAATAGTACGATTTGGTTGTAGCCAGGGAAGAATTAATCTCGTTGAATTAACAAAGGAATACAAGATAAGGAAGCAAAATGATAAATGATAGAAGTGACCTACTTGTTTAAAGGGATGTGCTCAAATGGTCCACTGGTAGGAATCGTTCCACATAAATCATTGTTGGATACATCCCTGGAAAAGTGGCAATTTTAAATGATTAACATGCATTTATAACAGAAAACATACAATAAGGAAACTGCCACACTTGCAGAAAAAAGAAGGGATTGAAGAAATAGATTGAGACAAGAAGCACTCACACAACTTTGAGGCTTGAAATACCAACAAGATCCCGCGGGATTGGTCCAGTTAACTTGTTATCATTGAGACGTCTACCAATCCAAGCAACAATGAAAGGAAGGCATTTATTACTACGCTAAAAAACCTCATTGTATCAATCTCAGTATACACATATATATATATATATATCTATGTATAAAGAAAGAGAGACACAGAGACACAAAGAGGACCAGTAGGTCATGTATTGATACAAGGCCAGTGATTAGTCCCCTAATCTAAGTAACACTCAAGAAATTGCAAAATGCGACAATTCAAAAGCTACCAGATTCATTTTCCGGTGTTGCACCTGTGATCTAGGATCCCAAATAAGTTATCCATCAATATTCAAGCAAAAGTGGAGTTGTCAGAAAACCAACCTCCCAATTTCTCGTCCAAGAAAATAGACTAAATTAAGCCAAAACAGCCCAATAACACAGGTAAAGTGCAGTGCTTAATTTAATCAACTCACAAAAACACAAGTGATTTCAATTTCCCCAATGAAGAAGGAATGGTCCCTGATATGTTGTTGTTATATAAGTCCAAGCTAATGAGGCTCTTCAAGTTACCAAGCTCAGCTGGAATAGTTCCTTGAATGTTATTTTTGTACAGCTCCCTACATAATAAAGAGGTATAAGGGTTAGCCAGAAAGTACTTTAATCCAAGAACCTAAAATAAATGTAAGCTTTATGAACAACCCCAGCATATTGTCAGAGAAAATGAGAAAGGCTAAGAAACATACAGATATTGAACAACCCCATTCTAGCTAAACATACAGTTAAACAAAATCATCACAAAGGTAAAAATCAGTCAGTAATTTCCACAAATTACAGAAGAAAATAAATAAATAATCGTAGCAAATTAATAAGAAACGTAGAAATACCATCTGTAACATCTCCAAAAGAAGAAAACAGTCTCTTGAGTTGTTCATTATTAGTGAAGGATGATAATCTTAAGCAACAAACCCAAGAATCAAAACAAGCATTTTAAACAAAAAAACCCTAAAAATAGATTTGAGAGAAAGAAAGGGAAAGAGAGAATACTGCTGACGAAGAGCTGCGAAACTCAATCTTTTGGCCATCTCTGTGTCAACCCAAATCCCAGATATCTACTTTTTCTTTGAGCATGAAATCTGAAGAAGCAGATTTAACATTTATAGGAATGTATAGGAAGAAAAACGAGATCCAGACTCAGATTGGCTTTTGGCATCGCACCAAAGGTGTCCAGTAGAGAAACTAGAAAGACTCTACTAAAATTTGAAGGTTTCTCATGCACCAAAGGCGACCTTTCGAAGCTCGCCGCGGCTGAGGGATGGGCAGGGGTGGCTGGGCTTTAGCCCTGAGGAAAGCACCGGCCATGGTCGGAACATCTGAGAGAGAAAGAAGCAGTGATGGAGGAGAGAGAAGAAA